AAAAATTGCAACTGGGGACAAAACTGAATATTAGACTTTCTCTCCTGGTTGAATGTTTTTTATTCATACAGAATGGAGTGATTTATTAAAATATATTGGGCAGCACAGTGGCTAAATGGTTAGCACTTCCACCTGGCAGTACTAGGGTCATTGGTTCGAATCCCAGCCACGGCACCACCTGCGTGAAGTTAGCATGTTCTCCCTGTGCCGGTTTCCTCAGGGTACTCTGGTTTCCTCCCACACTCCAAAGAGATGCTGGTAAGGTGAATTGGATCCTGCCTAAATTGTCCCTAGTATGTGTGCGTATGAATGTGAGTTAGGGACCTTAGATTGTACGCCCCTTGAGGGTTAGGGACTGATGTGAATGTACAATATATATGTAAAGCGCGCAGTAAATCGATGGCACTATCTATTATATATATATATATATATATATATATATATATATAAAAATAAAAGTACCTGAAATAAATAAATTAAAATACACATTATGGTCACTAAACAATATAGTCAAAGTATTTATTCCCTCATCTGCTCCATCTAGTAGCTAAAATGAAGTATTTTCCTGATTGACTGTAGATTTGACCCAAACTGAGAAAATAGCCTAACAACATTTGATTTTGCCCTTACCCACACGGAATGAATGAATGTACATACAGATCGAACTGCTCTGTATACGGTTTTTATAAATACACCCCGCAGTGTGTTAGAGCAGTGGAGCTTTGAGGCTTTAGCAGCTATGCGGCAACGGAAACCCAATAGTCTCAATCATGTGGCCAATAAAATATTAATTTGTCAGGTGGCATTTAGCTAGCTAGATTCAGTATATGAGGCATATTAAAGGATAAATTCACCATTTAAATAAAAATAATAAATGCACAATTTTTTTTTCAGATAAAAAAAAAATGTGCATTTACTTTTTTTTTTTTTTTTTTATAGAAGCCTGGAAAGCATTTCATCAGTGATCAGCAGATTGTTGGTGCCATGCGGGATTCCTGCAGACTGTCAGTGTAACCTGTCCGCCCATACATCATATATCATACATCGTACATCATATATCATACATCGTACATCATACATCGTACATCGTACATCATACATCGTACATCATACATTGTACATGCAGGCAGTTTTACAATGACAGGAAGAATCAATGAACTTCCTAGAGCGCTCAACAGCACCATGATAGTTCACTAAGAAGTGGACAGATGCAAAGGATGTTGGTACTTGTAGTTCATTCACAGAACTCTGTAAATTAATGACGTGGCCATGTAGGCCGAGCCCTGTACACTTTTGCGCTCTTTTCAAAAAGTGACAGCTGGTACAGGAAACCTCTCCCCAGGTGATTGGATCTCTGAGCGGCTGCAGGAGCGGGAACATGTTACATGACATACACCTAAAAACAGGTGGAACGTGTTCCCAAAGGTGGACTTGTCCTTTAACCTCCCTAGCAGTCTGATTATGTCCATATTTCTGTGCTCAAAGCGGTACATTTTTTTTGCATGGAAATATTTTTTTTATTGTAGGCCTGTAATTCTTAGGAATAACTCACTGAAATCTGTCCGAACAAGAGTCTAGTAAACATCCCGGGTAGGATAAAATTTAAAACACGAAATCATAAATTATAATTTAATAAATAATCATAAAAAATAATAATATATAATAATAATAAATTTAATTCAATAATATAATCAAACCAAAAACACTGAAATTTGAAATAGAGCGCCAAGTTCGCACATCGCTGAGCAAAGTTGCAGAATCGTTTTCAGTGTCTGATGATGAATTTCCCCCACTAATCATTATCACTCAATTCTGCAAGTGGTTCTGATTTACTATCGCTGTTCTCTATCTGGTCTAAAACCGCTTTTGACCTAAAGGGACGCTTTTTGGACACCATGGATGTTTCTCAGTTTCCAGGGAGAAAGAACAGTAAAAATGCAGGCAGGGCGCAGGACAAAGCACTCGGGACAAAATGTATGTGAAATGGTTTGATACAGGAATGTTATACTATGTGATTTTAATGTATTTAGTGAATGTCACTTTTCGTCATTTTCAAATTTCCCGCCAGTTTCATCCCTGTACGTCCCGACGTTGCAGGGGACAGAACACAGATGACAGATGCCGGCATCCGCTGGGGGACATTGCAGGAGGGCAGGACAAGGTAAGTGATCGAGAGATCCCGGAGCAACGCTGCAGTGTATTCCCGAGTGTAGCTCGGGGGTTACCGCTTGTGGTGCTGAAACTTTACCCCGAGCTACACTCGGGAATACTTCCAGGGAGGTTAAATTGAAGTCACTAATGACTTGCTAAGTTATATCCATAATTCCAAACCAAAATTTTAGGGCTCAGACACTTCACAACGCGCATTACAACAACATATGGTAACATGCAGGAGATCTGGGTTGAGGTGCATTGCCTTAGAAAGTAAACTTTACTCCAATGCGCAACTACAGTGCAGATACCTGCTTCAGGCTCCATGCACACTGGCGTTATTCTAAGCTAAATGATGGAAAAAACATTGCATAAAAAATGCTTGTAATAGTTTTTACAGTATATGTTGAGAAAAAAAAAAGAACAAATTCAGAAAAAAGCATTTAGCGTATTTAGCGTTTTTTTTATTGGAAAAACACTCCAAAAAACTCTACAAAAACATTTTTTTTTTTCTGCTCCTGGAACCTGAACCTCACAAAACGCTAAAGGTCTAAAGTAGTGTGCATGGATACATAGTAGAACACGATTTAGCAGAAAACAAAGCTAATAATGGCATCTAGGAGCTTTTAAAAACGCTAGTGAGTGCATAAGTGTGTTGGAGGTGGAAGAGCACTAAGGGGTGATACAGGAACACCGTACACTTGTATACAGTAGTGTGACAACACTGGTCTACATGAAGTTCCTGCGGATTTAAAGGGACAGTTCACAATGACTGACATTATATTAAAGTGGAGCTTCACCCAAAAGGGGAAGTTCCACTTTAAGGACTGCTCCCCCCGCTCCTCATTAAGGATTGGCACCTTTGGGGGGGTGGCGGATGCCCGAATTTGACAGGTACCCGCTCCCACTTCTGGTCCGATCGCCTAGGCCAGGGGTGGGCAACTGTGGCCCTCTAGCTGTTGTAGGACTACAAGTCCCATGTGGCATTGCAAAACTGACAATTACAAGCATGACTCCCAAAGGCAGAGGCATGATGGGACTTGTAGTTCACCAACCGCTGGAGGGCCACAGTTGCCCACCCCTGGCTTAAGCGATTGGAAGGTGTCCTCCCTCCCTGTAGTCTTTTGGGACACGTGACAGGGGCCATTCATTAAGCACAGAGCTACTTGCCTATGCGCAGTGGGTACCCAACTGTGAAGCCGCAAGCTGTCACAGCCGGGTGCCCACGCTGAAGATGCTGGCCTCCTGGAATACAGGACGGCCGGTGAAATGGGCTGCGGGGGACACACCAAGGGACAGGTAAGTGGCTGTTTTTTTAAAAGTCAGCAGCTACAGTTTTTGTAGCTGCTGACTTTTATTTTTTGACAGCGTGAGTAGAACTCCGCTTTAAGTTGCACGATTTATGTTGTATTTATATCCAGTGGCGTATATAGGTTTTGTGCTGCCCTAGGCAACACTAAATTGCCCCCCCCATCCCTCGGAGACAGCCTGACATTGACACCCCTGCCCAACTGGGAGAGCCTTCCACTACCATTGCCCCCATACACCGGCCACTCCCCTCCCAGCCAGAGAGAGAAACTCACCTTCACAACTCTGGACATCCCCAGAAACGAGTGTCAAGAAGCCCGCAGCCTCTCTCAGATCCCACCTGCTCCCCAAGCCGCATGTGTCCCCTCTTCCATCCCTTCCTCCATAGGGGCGCTGCTGCCCCCCTGAAAAATGCCGCCCTAGGCAAATGCCTTGTTTGCCTTGTGGTAAATACGCCCCTGTTTATATCACAAAACACTGCGGATGTTACAGATTTTGTGTGGGTCTTCATGTATCCATTGAAATATATGATTAGTAGCATATATTATTATTATTATACAGGATTTATATAGCGCCAACAGTTTGCTCAGCGCTGTACATAATAATGGGAGACAGTACATGAGACAGTACAGTAACAATACGATTCAATACACGAGGGGTTCAAGGGCCCTGCTCCTTGGAGCTTACAATCTAGGAGGGAGGGGATAGTGATACAGGAGGAAATAGCTGTGGGGGATGGAGTGGTAGGAAGAGTGGAGGAGATCGGCAATTAGCAGGGGGTGGGGTAGGCTTCCCTGAAGAGATGGGTTTTCAGAGTGCGCCTAAAGGAGAGAAGGGTAGGTGATAGTCTGATGGATTGGGGTAGGGAGTTCCAGAGGATGGGTGATGCCCTGGAGAAGTCCTGGAGACGGGCATGGGAGGAGGAGACCAGGGAACTAGAAAGTCGGAGGTCTTGTGAGGAGCAGAGAGTACGTTTTGGGTGGTATTTGGATACCAGATCGGTGATGTAGTTTGGGGCAGTATTATGAACAGCTTTATACGTCAATGTTATCATTTTGAATTTTATCCGTGGGGAAATCGGAAGCCAGTGGAGGGATTGGCAGAGGGGGGTGGTGGATACAGAACGGTTAGTAAGGTGGATGAGTCTGGCCGCAGCATTCAAGATAGACTGAAGTGGGGATAGCCTGCGATGAGGTAAGTCGATGAGGAGGGAGTTACAGTAGTCGAGGCGTGATATAATGAGGGAGTGAATGAGTTGCTTGGTGGTTTCCGGGGTTAGGAACGGTCGTATTTTGGAGATGTTGCGGAGGTGAAGTCTACATGAATATACTGATTATTGAGCATTCACAAGCATGGAGGAGTGTTACTTACTGTCACTATTGATCATTCCGCATCTAGGAGGTTGCGGCTGACACAACAGCACCATTGCATTCATTTCATTGTTGCATTTTTCACTATTTACAAATAAAGAAAACAATAAAAAGTAAACATTCCTCTCTTACCAGTAGATTTCCTAGTGTGATCTGCTCCTTGCAGCCTCGAGTATCATTCCTGCAGTACATCTGAAGAGCCAACACTTCCCGCCGACAACAGTTATCCTTGAACACCTGCAATTCAAGAGATCCGTTTATTGCAAACTGATTTCCATTTTATAATCCGGGAACATAAATCCTCATCCCTGGTTGTGATATGCGTAGCGCTCGGGGAGGGAGCCCCGCTCCAGTTGCTGCCCAGAACTAATTCACTTAAGGGAAATCGAGGATTAATTTAGGAAGCGTGTCCCGCCATTCAGACTTGTTTATGAGTACTTTGTGAAGGGAGCGGGCTTGGAAGTACATTTTTGTATTCGGGTTGCTAAAGAGGGATCAGAGCGCTTTCTTCCTCTGAAGGGCGAGTTAGGTTCTCACAGGGTTAAAGACCAACTCTGGGCACATGAAAGCAAACTCCCCTCCCCTCCGCAATCTTTGCGAGGATTAGATGCTCTTTTTACTTAATGGCAGAAGAATAACATGTAATAATGACCCTATGGGCAGCACTTCCGCCTGGCAGTACTAGGGTCGTTGGTTAGAATTCCAACCACGGCACCACCTGCCTGGAGTTTGCATGTTCTCCCTGTGCCTTGCACGCCCCTTGAGATTGCACGCCCCTTGAGGGTTAGGGACCTTAGATTGTATGCCCCTTGAGGGTTAGGGACCTTAGATTGTACGCCCCTTGAGGGTTAGGGACCTTAGATTGTACACCCCTTGAGGGTTAGGGACCTTAGATTGTACACCCCTTGAGGGTTAGGGACCTTAGATTGTACACCCCTTGAGGGTTAGGGACTGATGTGAATGTACAATATATATGTAAAGCGCTGTGTAAATTGACAGCTTCACTTGCTCAGTTCTTTGACTGGCAGCTGGTATTTTTTTTTTTTAAGGTGATCAGCACTGGTAGTCAACTAATCTACCACGCTGCAGGTTTCCTTTCATACTTTCAATGCCAAGGGTTTCCTAACATATTGCACCTCAGATGCTAAAGTTATTCCTTTTGGTTTTCAATTATAAGGAGATACCATCATTCATTAAAATTAATTACAATCATTAATTAAAATTAAAACATAGAAGGTCCACCAACATTCCAGAGCATCGGACAGTGGAGGAGGAAAGCAGCGGCTGGTGGGGAAGTGAGGAATAAGGTAAATATATCACCATCATTCCCTAGGTCAGGGGTGTCAAACTCCATTTCATCGCGTGCCATATCAGCATTATGGTTGCCCTCAAAGGGCTAGTTGTATCTGATGTAGACTAGATGTCCAGAGTACCCCACCCTCCATTACATCAGATATGAAGAATCCCACACCCTCCCTAACATCACCGTGCACCCCCTTTGGGGGCAGAGCTGGAAAGCAGAAAGTGCAGGGTCTGGAGGAGGACCGGAGGAGGAGTGGAGTCAGTTACCGGAGTCTGCTGAAAGCTGAGACCGGGGGAGGCAGAGATGAGGGGGTGCTGCAGCTGTACTGAGAGGTGCAGAATTTGGCAGAAGTTCTATTCTCCTCTCTGCTGCTGACTGCTGAGACAAAGTGGGGGTGGAGACAAGGGGGTACCTGCAGGAGAGGTGCAAGGGCCACATGAAATGGCCTGGAGGGCCGGATTCAGCCCACGGACCTGGTGTTTGACACCTGTGCCCTAGGCAAAATGATCATTTAACCCTTGCAGTGGGGAGTAGGACCCACTTCAAGGATAAATTATTTTCCTCATTGGAGTTCAGCTTTAAATGCATTTTTGTAAATGCACACAGTGTAAGCGCCTGGATCTGACTTGGCATCGGCCTATTGCAGCCCCCGTACAGAAAAGCTCAGCCTGGGAAACGAGATACACAAGCAGGTGATCAATTGTGCTGCAGCGCACCAACAAGGTAGATGCCGATAGGAAGAGAGAGCAGAGGGACAAAGAAATGAGCTCATCAGACTGCTGCTTCTCCTTCACTGTCCTGTCAAAGGCTGGGGGAGGCATCTAAGAGTTACCTATATGAAGTAGAGAAAAATCAGGTCTCCTGCCCTGCCAAATAGGACTGTGCTACATGGCAGAGCGGTGTAAATCTTAGAACTGGATGGACTGAAATACAAAGCCTTTGGCAAGTAAAACAGCTCTCATCTGTGTATTTACCATTTTGCGTGGAGTTCAGCTTTCATCATCTTTAATGTTTTTGGTAGTTACCTATTTATACGTTTCAAAATAATTTAGTGCAACAGCTTGATGTATGGAATACTTGAAGAAGATATATTTGGTGCCCAGAGAAACCGATAAGATTTGCCCTTCACTGGGAAAATGAAAGGGAAATCCGACTGGTTGTTATAAGCAGCCTAGACCATTCTAAATAAGTCCCGAAACTTCTGTATTTTAAATGTCTGGCTCCAGCCTCTTCTGAGGTGAAGGCGCCTACAGACACGCACAACCCCATCCAAGGAGCTAAGATCAGATTTCGACAGAAATATCCTGTAAACATGCATCCTGTTTCATACTTGGGACTTTCCAAACCTTGTCAACCCAGCTCATTTCAAAGAAACAATGCTGAAGATGTGACCTCTGGATTGCAAGGCTGTCGCCACTCCCTGCTTTTTCGCTTCTTAAATTCCCGCCATATTGAACTGTACTTCACCCAACTTCCATTCTTGCGTCATAGTAATTGTTGTATCTGTAGTTTTATAATTCCCCCACATTCTAGTCTTGTCTCCCACTGATCAAAGTTTGCTCATAAAGACCAAAAAGATGGGAAATTCCTGGACATTATGTCTATAGTGGTTGACATGATGGTTTGTCAAAAGTCAAGTAGGCCAATGGATTTTAGATTTTACACGCCAGCTCTTAGAACTCCGGGAAAATCTTCTTGAGTTCATCTTATACTTTCCTAACATTTTGACTCCAGCGTTAGCCTCTAAAGGTTTTTGGATTTTAGTTTCTGCTCATATATTTTATCCACAACAGCTTTGACCTCCTTTCTACACTACCAGTCCTGGTGCCTTTCAGTTGCAAGATCACGCAGCTCCAGGACAGCCCCAGCACTCAAGTCATTTCTATTTATGGTACTTGACAATGGTATGTCTTGACTTCCTAAACCCAGTACTGAAGAAGTTTGACAGCAACAGCACTCTCCCCTCTCTACTGGACCCAGAACAAGCCTCTCATCCCTTGGTCCCTAGGCCCCCCCATGGACAACATCCCTTGGTCCCTAGGCCCCCCATGGACAACATCCCTTGGTCCCTAGGCCCCCCATCGACAACATCCCTTGGTCCCTAGGCCCCCCATCGACAACATCCCTTGGTCCCTAGGCCCCCCATCGACAACATCCCTTGGTTCCTAGGCCCCATCGGCAACATCCCTTGGTCCCTAGGCCCCCCCATCGACAACATTCCTTGGTCCCTAGGCCCCTCATGGGCAACATTCCTTGGTTCCTAGGCCCCCATCGACCACATTTCTTGATCCCTAGATTCCCATCAAAAGCATCTCTTGGTTCCTAGGTTCCCATCGAAAGCATCTCTTGGTCCCTAGGCCCCCATCAACAACATCTCTTGGTCCCTAGGTCCCCATCGACAACATCTCTTGGTCCCTAGGCCCCTATCAACAACATCTCTTGGTCCCTAGGCCCCCATCGACAACACCTCTTGGTCCCTAGGCCCCCATCGACAAGATCTCTTGGTCCCAAGGCCCCCATCGACAAGATCTCTTGGTCCCAAGGCCCCCATCGACAACATCTCTTGGCCCCAAGGCCCCCATCGACAACATCTCTTGGCCCCAAGGCCCCCATCGACAACATCTCTTGGCCCCAAGGCCCCCATCAACCACATTCCTTGATCCCTAGATTCCCATCGAAAGCATCTCTTGGTCCCTAGGCCCCCATCGACAACATCTCTTGGTCCCTAGGCCCCCATCGACAACACCTCTTGGTCCCTAGGCCCCCATCGACAACACCTCTTGGTCCCTAGGCCCCCATCGACAACACCTCTTGGTCCCTAGACCCCATCGACAACACCTCTTGGTCCCTAGGCCCCCATCGACAAGATCTCTTGGTCCCTAGGCCCCCATCGACAACATCTCTTGGCCCCAAGGCCCCCATCAACAACATCTCTTGGCCCCAAGGCCCCCATTGACAACATCTCTTGGTCCCTAGGCCCCCATCGACAACATCTCTTGGTTCATAGGCCCCCATCGACAACATCTCTTGGTCCCTAGGCCCCCATCGACAACATCTCTTGGTCCCTAGGCCCCCATCGACAACATCACTTGGTCCCTAGGCCCCCATCGACAACATCACTTGGTCCCTAAGCCCCCATCAACAACATCTCTTGGCCCCAAGGCCCCCATTGACAACATCTCTTGGTCCCTAGGCCCCCATCGACAACATCTCTTGGTCCATAGGCCCCCATCGACAACATCTCTTGGTCCCTAGGCCCCCATCGACAACATCTCTTGGTCCCTAGGCCCCCATCGACAACATCACTTGGTCCCTAAGCCCCCATGGACAACATCTCTTGATCCCTAGGCCCCATCAACAACCGCCATCAGTCCATAGAAACAAATGACTTTCCAAGCCATAGCACCATCTCCTCCTAGTTACAGGACCCCCAGGCAACAACCTTCCTAGGATTCAGGCCCAATGGTCTTTGCTGCTTCCTTGATGCCACTTTATACTACCCAAAATTAAAAGTCCAAAATTCTCCTTAATACACGTACCCAAGCTATTTCTCTCAAATCACTTTGCCTTTTTCCTGTTCTCATTTCCTCCCATTCTCTTTGATCTTCTCAGCTCTCCTCTACCTATATTGCGTTTTGTAATGTATTTACCTGTTCTTTCCATTTTAATCTCCAAGCTTTTTATTAACATTTCTCATTCCGCTTCCATCCCCAATCCCAAACTTTCTCTCTTCTCCATCACTCTTCTAACCAAGTTTACCGTCATGTAGCTCCCAATGCCTGCTCTGTGCCAGAACTTTGATATTAATAATAAAAAGCTGAAGTGATGGAAGAGTTAACACTTGCTCTGTAATTATACTTCTCTGCTTGGAGACTGAATGAGCAGTATTTTCCATCCAGAGCCTCCCACATTGGCGCCAGCCACCACTAAATTC